ACGTACTTCAGTACTGTAGCGAGCACCAAAAATCCAGCAGAATCAAGGACTACCAAATCTACAGCAACAAATTTAGAGTTGGTAATACTTGCATATAATTGTGATTTAATCTTCACATCTCTACTGGAAACATGAATTTTGCTTGGATGCAGTATTAATCCCTTTATGTAGAAATTACACTTCTCAGAACGCATGTAGCTTCCAGCTAAGGTACAGACATACGTTTTTGAAAGCTGTACTACTCTAGTCCCTTACCTATGAATATGCTTAAGAACTGGCAAGGCTGACCCCCATCTCTGCCTTACAAAGAGAAATAGCTGAACTTTAACAAAACATAACTACTTATTCAAGACGAATCACTTTCAAACAACGTTTGCTTAAACTAGGAAAAATGTATTTCCTCCTTTTGTCTGAAAGGAGCGTTTGAGAATGAATAGCTTCCAACATGATGGGCACAATAAAGAGCATTTTAAAAAGCATTCAAAGAAAAACACTGAAATACGTCTGACCATCAGACAAAGCTAGCAGTTGTGCTTATGTGACAGGGCATGTCTTACCCAGAAAAGAATCAAGGAAAGGGAAACTGAGCTTAAAGACTTAGCAAAAAGACTGTAACACTGAAGAAATGCCCAAGTTCAAAACACAAGTCCTTTAATATACATTTAGCAGTTCTTCATGGAAGTCTGTGTTTCTTCTGCTATAAACAAAGTGAAAGCTGTACTCTGAAATCCCATCTGCACTTGCTTTCTCGTACTGATAAATGCCTCTTCTCCTGGCAAACCACAGACTACAACGCTATTTGCTCAGGAAGACAGCAGTAACAGTTACATTCAAACAGAGAAGCTAATGAGCCAATACCAGATAGAAGTGAAGGGCAACTGAATACAGTTTTTCTTCGTCAGAAGGAGGACCTCTAACTGCACAATTAATTCTCAAGACAGATATCAAGTCAGTTTTATTCAGATTCCAAGGGTCTGAAATGCCTAGAAAATCAGTGGCTTGATTCCCAGAAGCAATCTGGTGACTGGTTAAGAGGAGAGATACTTCAAATACATGTCACAACCACTCCCTTTAATTTGCCATTGTAGTCATTCAAAACTCATAGGTTTGTTGATTGGCATACGTATCCTTTCTCTACTGCTTTACACTGTTTAGCTTGACAAAAGAAACAGCTGTGAGTTTTGAAAAGCAACAGGGCAAGACTGGAAGTGTTCTGTATGGAGGACTTAGTAACGAACTAGTTTTCCTTCTTCCTTTTAATAACATCACTGGAAAAATAACACAGGGACAAGAAAGAAGAAACAGTAAAATCAACCACTGGCCAATTTTTTCTTTGATGTAAACATCAAGCACAGAACAGCAATAGCACTCAGCGTAGGCATATGAGGACAAGCATTTGTTTTTGCTGACCAAAACTTTCATATGATCAAATTCCACTGGTTTCAAGGCTAGGCATAGACACTCATCACAATGAAAAAGAATTAAATGAATGCAATTTCCTTTTAAAAAATAAGGACTACTCACTTTTGTCACCATAACCACCACAAAGTTCTTCTCATCAATTTTGTATTCTTTAAGAGCAGTATCATCATTAAGGATTTTACCTGGCAAATTAAACAGATACAAATTAAGAAGTTATTTAACAGATTATTAGATGATCTTGGGATTCCCTCATACACAGTTCCAAAAAAATCCATAAAAACATGCTCTATGCAGATTTAAAAACATTAATAACCCTACAAAAAGTGCTTTGGTTATTAAGCTTTGGCAGTAGAGCTACAAATAATTTTCCTCCTGTGATGTCCACAGTGCTAGTTACTTGAAGGCTGTTGCCAGAAATGTTGAATATACTTCAAATCGTTTAAAGCAGAAGTGTCAAATCTAAAGAAAGATTCATTTGACCTTTAACACAGACACAAGCAATGCAGAGGAAAGGCTTTAGCACACAATAAGCTTAACTGAATAACTTAACGCCTGCTCACACACTCCAGACACAATAAGAAAATTCCTTCCTGCTTGTTTTGTTTGCCCTTCAGATGTAGTAATCTAAGTTCCCTGCCACAAAGTTTATCTGCATTTACATAAGTTTGTGACTTTGAAACTCTTAATAATTTGTCCCTAAAAGGCTAAAGCATTAGAAAAAGCTAAAACCATTCCATATCCTGCTACCTCGATGGAAGGATGAAAAACCAAAATTATACGACAAAACCAGAAACATTTGTTTTGTATACTACCACCTGTGATGTTTCATAAGCAGAGATGGAACTGTGGCAAAGTATATTTGCCTCATGTCTACAAGAACTCAGAAACACATTAAACCACGTAGACTTTTGGGGTTGTTTTCTAGGATAACTTGATTTAGAGGCAGTACCGCAAATCAAAAAATTAAGTCTGTATTTCAGTGAGTTTTATAGCACCTATTTCTACTACAGAATTTTCAGGAAATATTTTACGTTTTCAATTGATTCCTTTTCTGAAGATGTGCCAAGTACCACTTCACTATTTCAAGAGGAAGATACACATTCTCATGGCCATTCTCAGTGGTAGTCGAATACACCACTTAACTGTAATTAGCAGGACACACGCTGATGATTGCAAGGAGATCAAGCAATCCATATGCATTATGGCTCTTGGAACACAAACGAGGTGGCACTGTCCTATTCTCTACAGGTTCCACCAGTCTTGCAGGTCAAATACTCAAGAAGACATTATAGGTACTGTAGTAGTAGTAATACCTGTAGCAGATGGTGCAGCATCTGATTCAGCACCTACATGGGTTTACTTAGAATTTTCTGGTTTATAGGCACTTTGAGGAAGCAGCTTTTATATGCAGACTTCTACCTTTTCAGGACACATCACAGTCAGGGTTTCTAGACTTTACCCTAATACAGATGACAACACAACAGATCTACCTTATCGCTGATTGGCATAACCTTTTGTCCTGGGTTTGGCTAGGATAGGGTCAATTTTCACCAGAAGCTGGGAAGGGGCACAGCCGGGACTGCCAAACTAAACTAGCCAAGGGGTATGTTATACCATGCTGACGTCATGGTCAGTATATAAGGGGAAGCACCAGCGGGAAGGCCTGTGTGGCATGGTGCGGCGGGCAGTCCAGACGATGAGCTGTTGTGTTCCCTGTCTCTCCCTGTATATTATTTCATTAGTGGTGTTGTTGTTACCATTGTTTCTTCTCTCCTTGTGTTGTTCCATTAAATTGTTCCTATCTCAGTCCGTGGGGTTTGACCCTTTTCCTCCGATTCTCCTCCTCACCCCTCCACGGGGGGGAGGGTGAGCGAGCGGCCGTGTGGTGCCCTGCTCCCGGCTGGGCCCAAACCACAACAGTCCTTTTGGTGCCCACTGTGGGGCCTGATAGGTTGAGATAATGGCAGATCTGGCCAGACCGCGTTGAGAGTTTGTCATACACATTTGTTATATTAGTTAAGTGACCGCTGTCACCATGTTGGTTCGTCTGTTCGCGTGGTGGTGCTGTGTAAAACTCGTACGTGCACTATGTGCTCCCTGCGGTGATGTCTGTGACCGCTGGGAGGGGGATCAGGACTGTCATCTTGCTGCACCAGCTAATGTCGACTTACAATATGATTGCATCGCTTGTCATGAGGTTCAGCTGGCATTTCTGTGCAGCATTGCTGTCATGCCCATTCTTCAGGTGCCTCCTCTCGGAATTCGTTACTAATCGCACCCAGTCCATGGGAGGGACAAAGGGGGGATACTTTCTCCCACTCTTCCACATCTCCTTCTGCCTTCAGGCTTATTATAGCAGCTTTTGGGAATTTTGAATACCCCTGGGATGCCCAAATCAGCATGTTCTTATTGCTGTGTCTCCTGAATGTGTCCCAGGTATTGTCCAGGGTTAAACAACATTTTTGCAACAATATCACCCAGAAATCTGTCCTGAGGCTGGATAACTGTAAGCGGCACGCTGTGTGGGAGAGTGTGGGCAAGTGCCTAGGACAGTGGTCACCCCCAGTGTTTTGGAATTTCACCCCTGAACAACTTCAGAACCCTGAAAAACTAGTAAAACATTTGGAAAACGTATGCTATCACCCAGGCAATTCCAGAGTCACAAATCACTGCAACATGCTGGGGCCTGGCCCATGCCTACTGAGCCCTTCTCAACACTACTCAGTGCCCTCAAGGGGAAGAAAAGGTCTCTGGACCTGAAAACAGAGTAATAGGCACTACAGCTGAACTAGAGAACCAACCTGTGCTGGTATTAGTTGCCCCTATAGAGAAGAAGTACACAAAAAAATCGGTCCGCTTAGTGAGGTAAATCCACTTGGGCTGCTGAACTATGGCAAGATATTGCTGCTCAGCTAGAGAACCTGGTTGTGAAAGTATGTCATGTGGATGCTCATGTACCCAAGAGTAGGGCCACTGAAGAACATCAAAACAGCAGGTAGACCAGGCTGCTAAGATTAAAGTGGCTCAGGTGGATTTGGACTGGCAGCATAAGCATTCATAGCTCAGTGGGCCCATGACAACTCAGGCCACCAAGGAAGGGATGCAACATATAGATGGGATCATGATTGAGGGGTGGACTTGACCATGGACACTATCGCACAGGTTATCCATGAGTGTGAAACATGGGCTGCGATCAAGCAAGCCAAGCGGTCGAAGCCGCTGTGGTATGGAGGGAGACGGCTGAAATACAAATATGGGGAGGCCTGGCAGACCGACTGTATCACACTCCCACAGACTCGCCAAGGCAAGTGCCATGTGCTTACAACGGCGGAAGCAACCACCAGATGGCTGGAAACATAATGCTGTGCCCCATGCCACTGCCTGGAACACTATCCTGGGCCCTGAAAAACAGGTCTTATGGCGACATGGCACCCCAGAAAGGACTGAGTCAGACAATGGGACCCATTTCCGAAACAACCTCTTAGATACCTGGGCCGAAGAGCATGGCATTAAGTGGGTATATCACATCCCCTATCATGCACCAGCCTCTGGGAAGATTGAACAATGCAATGGTCTGCTAAAAACCACACTGAGAGCAATGGGGAGTGGGACCTTCCAACACTGAGATACACATTTACAGAAGCCACCTGGTTTGTAAACACTAGAAGATCTACCAATTGAGATGGCCATGCCCCATCAAACCTCCTACATACTGCAGAGGGAGAAAAAGTACTCGTAGTGCACATGAAGAGGTTGTTAGGAAAGATAGTTTGGATCAGTCCTGCTGCAGGCAAAGGCAAACCCATGTGTGGGACTGCTTTTGCTCAAGGACCTGGGTGCACTTGGTGGGTGACGTGGAAGGATGGGGAAGTTTGATGCGTACCTCAAGGGGATTTAATTGTGGGTGAGAATAGCCAGTGAATTAAACTGTGTGATGTTAATTGCTAGATAAGACTGCCATTGTATGCTGCCACTACCACAGTCGCTGTATGTCATATCAGTGGTGTTACAGTGAGAGTCACTCAAATCAATGGAGGATGGACTTTGATGAAGCAGAGTGAGAGTCAGCGGTGATGGAACTTGAACTGGCTTCAGCAAATGGCGGCCAGCAACTTGCTTAAGATCAACATCTTCAACATGCAGACTGTGAGAATGGCCCATATGAAACACACCAGCTGTAGGCTCCAGATGCAGCAAGCAGCAATCCAACACCATCACCTCCGACAGATGGAACTCCAAAGTGTAGGATCTGGGCATGATGTAGGTGGTATAGAATAACAGGTGGATAATGTCCTGGGTTTGGCTAGGATAAGGTTAATTTTCACCAGAAGCTGGGAGGGGGGCACAGATGGGACAGCCAAACTGAAGTAGCCAAAGGGTGTTCGATACCATGCTGACATCGTGCTCTGTATATAAGGGGCAGCGGTGGGAAGGCGTGCACACAAGAGCGGTGCAGCAGGCAGTCCGGGTGCTGAGCTGTTGCGTTCAGTGTCTCTTGCTGTACCTATTATTTCACCAATATTATTGTTGTTGTTTCTTCTCTCCTTGTGTCATTAAACTGTTATTAAACTGTTCTTATCTCAGCCTGTGGGGTTTGACCCTTTTCTCCATGGGGGGGAGGGGGAGGGGCATGCAAGCGGCTGCATGGTGCCTGCTCCCAGCTGGGCCCAAACCACACCTTTTCTTTAAAAAAAAACTGCAAGCATTTTTAATAACAAATGGTATACTTTTAATCAAGTTCAGTTAGGATATCACTCTGTTTTACCAAACTATGAAAACTCTAAAGCTCCTTTTAATCAAAGTAAAAATATCATCAATATATCCTTGTTGCATCTCTTGTCCAAAGGAAAAAAAACAATCAACCTCTGGATGGCCTTCTATTCTAAATCTCATTTCCTACACTTCCTACTGCTTGTAAGGATTATACAATGCTGCAGATAAATTCTGGCTTCTGAAAACGCTCAAGTGACATTGTATGATCTTACACAACCCTTGATTTTTTTACTCATAGAAATACAATATTAAGAGCATCATGCAATTATACATATTGCACAAGGCCTTCTGCCTTGTTTGTATTTCTTCATTATACATGTGACTTTTACCTTCATGTTCTTCATGTGCATTCCTTTCACTGAAGTACAGGGGACATAAAACCTCCTAAGAAACATAGTCCTGAGGAGTCTATACAAACACAGAGAGACTCCCAAATTCTCTTTCATGAGCATCTTTCTATTGTGATATGAGGCTTTAGCTTACTAGATGTGGAAAACCAACACTGTTTACAAAGCAGTACATAGAAGAAGTCAAAAGACCACCAAAGTTTCTTTCAAGCACTGTTTGAGAGGAAAAAGTACAAGGAATAGTTCTGACATGAAGTGAGAACCAAAAAACTGGATCCGTGTATTAGCACCAGAATAGACCAGTCAGGTAGAAAACAGTAAAAAAAAAACTGCAAAAAAAATTCAAACTCTGTTAGCTCAAATAAATAAATTTCATGTCTTTAAACAATATTAGACTGCTTTTTGCTAGCTCATAATGCACGTTTCTAATGACAGAGCTTAAAAGTATTGGAAGTACCTTCGTACAGCAAGGACTTAGTGGTGGGTTTCCTTTGTTAATACAAAAGAGATAAACTGATTTTTAATTCTCTGAGGTATATACAGCAACACTTCAGCTATACAAAGCATAAACTGAACAGAAAACAATGAGTTAACCAAGAACATGAAATGTGATCTGCTTAAATCCCCATTTCTTGTAACAAAAGCTATCTCTACTTCACCTAGCACTCCCCATCCAGGACTAAAGCAGCTAGCATATAATGCTGTAAGAGCAAAGATACAACAGACACGTATGTATTAAAACCTGAAAAGTTCTGATCCAAAATTAAGAGTTCCTTTTGTCGACGTTTGTTGTTGGTTTAGTTTTGTGTTTGTTTTTTTAAACCTGTTTGCATTCCAGTATTTACAATCCTTAGAGGACTTAGCGTTCACATCAAAGTCAAAGGAGAATATAAAAAATGAGGTAGATTCAGACGCAGTATCTTCAGAATATCCATTACCTGCATAAATTAGTTTTTGGCCAGCTACTGGAAAAGCATCTTTCCCCCTTTCTGATTCAATCTTCTCTTTCAGTGCCTTCACCTAAAGCACAGAAATAGTCTTAATGAAAAAAAAAAGTTTCAAAATACAAACCTAATTAAGTACACTTTGTTCTAAGTTTTAAATACTAAAAAGTAGTTTTCAGTCATATCTTGATCATGTCAAGTACATTGTAACCACTTACAGAGCAACATGTTCCCTTCCCAAATAATCTCTTGTTCTTAATAAGTAACTAATTTCTCCATGAGAAGTCTTTTAAGTATGAGTTTACAATGCAGTGAAAAATTGAGAAATTTGGGCAAAAAATTATTTTATCTACTGACCCATCTCCCCTCCCTGCTCTTTCTCTGAATGCAGTTTCTCTATACACAGCTGACAGCTTTCGTCATCATAATGACTTTTCAGGGAATGCTTGTTTTTTTTGCTAAGGTCACCATGACATTCGATTTAACTCACTGGAATGACTTGAAGCCTGGATACGCAAAGACCTGTGCAAACTGTCCAGTTGTTCATTTTATATAAGTAGTTTTCAACTCTTTAAACCCTGTAATTTTTAGAGCTTCGCATAGCAATTTTAAGCCTACACATGAAAGTGTTTTACCTTATTTACTTGTTTATGCAGACCACTGACATCCACATTTTCAGAGCACCACATACAAGAGCTCAAATGACACTGTTGTCATGTATGAGAATGCCAGTATTCTCTAGAAAAGGCTGCATAACTTTATCTGGAGGAGATAAAGGATGCTCCTGCAGAAGCATTTCTGTACTGACACATTTAAAATCATGTTTTAAGACAAACTGCCTGTACACAAACATTCGTTTTTCTTGCCTCCTGACGGACAGACGCAATGTATGTAAAACAGAGGCAACCAACGTTAAGAACTTATTACTACACCCTAACTCCATCTTCTAAAGTTGGGTTTTTTTTCTGAATATACATATGCTTTTTTCATTAAATGCTGCAACTGATATGCATATACCTAGCTATTTAACCAGATAACCACATGAAAATGTGTTTACCTTGACAGCTTAATCAGTCTGGCAACTATTTGTGCCTCAGGTAGCTGTAATAGCTAGTATTACCATTTTGTGTTAATTTTTAAAGCTGTAGCTCACTATTACGGTTGCTTCAGTAATAAATACACTGAAACAGTATTTTCAGGTGCTAAATGGTTACCTATTTACTGAGAAGCTTAGTGAGTCTCAGCATAATTAACACCTGTCATCCACTTCACACGCTAGTCACACTTCCTGGCATCACTTTATTCTTCTGTTAATGTCTCGGGCCTTCATGTTACCCTTCCCCTTTTCCTTCATTAGTCCCCTTGTTGCTTCTCTCTTTTCCTCTCAGATGTTATTTCTGTGTGTCTTTATCAGTCTCTTTACCAGGCTAATCCGTTCAGTTTACATATTTGGTCCAAAAGGGACAAACCAAACTTTAACACTCACAATTGAGCTGCATCTTTTCAG